AATTCATACCTATTTAAGTCATAATTAAACTATAAACCATCAATCACATCAAAGGATCAAAAAGACAAAATTTGTTAGTTTAGGCCTAATGTTGCCCATCTCTAACCTTAAAATTTTTTGAGTTTTAACCCTCAAATTTAAGTCCAATTAGCCTAATTTAACTTCAATTTCATGAAATTTAGGGTTAGAACCATTTCTCTCAATTTTTCCTAACTAAGAACCCTAATCCTAATTTTCATAATTTGTACAATTAAATCAAATTGAAGCACCAAACATAAAATAAACATGAAATTAAGTTTGATTATGGTGAAGGTGAAGTTAACTTACTAATTGAGCTCTAATTTAACCTTGAAAAACTAGGTTGCTTGAAAATTCCTTTCCTCATTCTTTTGCTCCTAAATTTGGATTAATTTCCTAAATTTTCTCCTTTAAAATATTTGTCTCCCAACTTGAAATTGAAGCTTATTCCACTGATTTTAAGTGTCTAAAATTGGTTAGGTATATTTTGGATCGATTTTAGGTGAATTTTAGTAAGAGTTTCCCTTGTATTTTTCTATTTTCTTATCATTTTTAATTTTTTCAAAACCTATTTATAGAAAAATTTTGTAGACTTTTTGATTGCATCTCTATCCTTAATTTGGATAAATTTCAGCCCTTAATTCAATTTTCAATCCTTTCTTTTTATTTGGCTAAATTTTTAGCCATTTATCCTTCTTCTTTTTTAAGCCTTCCATCCTTCTTAATTTTGATAACAATTGTTACTAGGAGTCAAAAGTAATGATGGCTCTAAGTCAGCAAATTATTGGGGGAAAATAATTATATTTGGTCCCTCAAATTGCTAGAGTTTTTCATGGCTTACTCTTTCCTAAATCCTTCTTTTATTTAAAAAATCACTTTTAACCCTTCCTTTCTAGTCTTTAAACCAATTTTTTACCTTTAAAATTACTACATAATTTAATTTTAAAGTTTAAACTTTTAATTTTATGCAATTAAGTTCCTAAATCCAAAATTGCATTCCATACCTTTCCAAAATCCAAATTCTCTTAATAATAAATTCACAAACTTTCTAAAGTAATTTAATCATGATTTATATAATTTTTATATTCTTATTCAAGCCTCCAAATTAATTATTTAGTGTAAAAATTACACTATTTCCTATAGAAAATATTCCTTCTATTTATAAAAATTCATATAAATTTATTAAATACTCCTAAACATCCTAAATAATTTTTTGATATCCTTGGAATAATTTTCTTATACTTTTAGAGTACCAAATTTAATTATTTTAACTTAAAAACACTATTCCAACACATAAGGATTTTAAATAAAATATTCACAACATAGGAGAAAATTCATACAACAACATAACATAATTTAACACCCCTCTAACAAATATTCTAAGTAAACAAAATATTTTTCATGCACATGCAATATGCTTAAAATAATTAATTCATGTAAAAATTTATATTCATGCACCGTAAAATCAAATAAAATATTCATTAAGCATAAAAGGACTATTTCAACTACTCCGAATATTCTTTCAAGCCTTTAAAGATTATTTTATACCTTCAATACATTTTTCTCATATTTTTCTCATATTTAATTTTTATTAAATTTATGTTTTAACGGGTATCGGTTATTACATTTTTCCTTCCATAGCTTCGTACGTGCTCTTTTTGTCTCTGCTACAAGTTTGGATGTACACAAAATAACAAATATGTTGGTAGCTTTTCTATCATCTCAAATTCAAGTCTTCTTGAGTAAATAATTTATTATTTGTTAATCTACTAATGCATTTGCTATTTTTTGGATGTAACTTAGGTTTTTAACTAGTAGTCCACAAAGCAAAAAGAAAGTCACTCTAAATAGAGATTTCGGGAACTTCAATAAAATTAGTTATTTGTAAAAAAAAAAAGGATAAAAATTAAATTACCGAACACCAAAATCAAACTAAAAGACCAAATAATATTTCGAGTTTGATTTCGGTTATTTTTTTGAAAATTATGTTAATTGAAAATCGTTCAAAATATTTCGAAACCAAACCGAATAACCGAATGAACACTCTTATGTGTAACAATGCAAAACAAATATATCCAAACCAGTTCATAGTATGCACAAAAAATGAAGACATAAATTTTAATGCATAAATAATCGTAAAATAAATTCATAAACTAAATTATATAAATTAAATTACATAAAATAAATGACTTGAAATTTAACTTGATGATAAATAAAGAACTTGAAAATAAATAACTTGGATACAAACGAAAAATATAAATAAAGGATGTAAATTAAAAAAAAAAAAACTAATCTTATGGCTTAACTCTAAATCCCCAAGCAAAGTAGATATGTTATCGCTACTCGACAAAGGACTTTCAAAAAAATAAAAACAAATCATTTTAGTTTATTATTTTTGGAGACAAGTAAGTTGAGAGAGATTTTGGAGTCACTACCTAGTATTATAGGAAACTAGAAAATTTTAAAATGACACTAGATTTAGATATTATGGTGTTGGTTATGCCTTTAGAAAGATAACAATCACTTAAAGGCACTATTTTTGAAAAAAGATATCATGTCTAGTTTAGCCCTAAAATGTATCTCCTAATTATTTTTTCCAAATTATTTCCTAATTCTATTTCCAAATTTTTTCATTGTCTAAGTCAAATTACTTTTTATATTTTTTATTATAGCATCATATTAAATTAGCGTTGTACCTCAAAATAAAGAGTCTCATTAATTTAACATGGGATCTAGTTAATTCTTAACATGACTGGCACTTCGATGAACAACATAAATACTAATGATATCTTACATGTATATTTTTATTTTCATTTATTTTCTTTGTTTTTTTATGTCAATAATAACAATTGTCCCTATTAAATAGAAAACTAGTTAAATCGACTTAAATTTTTTAATTATCCTAAGATGATATATTTTTTGTGAATATGAAGAATTTGATATAGGATTATCATCAATTTCTAGAATTTATAAGACTTGACGATCCGTCGTTACATTAACTAAACGATAAGTATATGACATTGAAATAAATTGCAAGCAAACCATAAATAAATTCTAAAAAATTACAGAAATTAAATCAAGAGATATGGATAAAATATATGTACAAAACATAGGAATTTCATATCAAAGTAAAATAAGTGAAAGTCCAACTAATTAAGTTCCCTAGAAAACAACAAAACAATTACAAATTAGGCAAAAATGTTAAATAAATTTCAAATAAACTTTAAATGATCTTTAAACATTACGAAATCTTAAACACAAACTAATGATAGCCATATGTAACATACATAAAAAATTCAAGTTGAAATGAGCAAGACAACCTTGTTAAAATAAATCCTAAAATTAAAAATCTAACTATTTATGGGCCTATTGGGCGGATCAAATTCAGATCCTAAACTAAAGAGACCCACTACCATGTAAACCTAAGACTAAGAGGGCAAGATCAAATTCAATCCTAAACTAAAGAGACCCACTACCATGTAAACCCAAGACTAAGGCTAGAGGCCCAAAGGCCACACTAATAGGCTTGCAAGCCCTTATTTTTTTAACATTTTTTTTTTATTTTAGCCCAATTTATAGCTCTAGCCTAGCAGCTTTTTATTTTCCTTTTTTTCTTTGAACCAAAATCAATAGACCCGAGTTCAACCCATATTTTGGCCTCACCCCTCATTTGCCCTCTCGTTTTTGTTGTAGGCCGGTCCGAGGAGGAAGAATAGTGGCACGCAGGAGGAGGATATAAGTAAACAAATGCTAGGTCACTTAAAACTTTCCTTTAAGTTTGTCCTGTCGTTTGCTTCTTTGTTTCAAAATCATCCTTTTGTATTGCAATTTCTCTCAATTAAAGCCCTTGAGCATGTTATTTTAACCCTTTTTCTTTCAAATTTTTGCAATTACACTCATTCGTTCTTTGATTTTGGTTTCTATTCTTTTAATTTTATTCAATTACATCCTCAATTGTATTTTGTTAATAATTAATCCTTTTTTGTACTTTTGTTTTTCTCTTATTTTTTGTTTTCATATTTATAGTAATGTGATAAGTAATAGGGAAACTAACCTAAAAAAATTTACATTTTCTTTCTTCCATTTTTTTTTGTTTTCCAATTTTTTTTGTTTTTGTGATAAAATAAAGAATAAACTAAAATAAAAATCTAAAAATTAAATGAGACCAAAACTAACTAACTATCTAACAACAAAAATAATAAACATAAAGATAAATTAAAAAAAAATCTTATGTAAAATAAAAAAATAAAATTAAGAAATAATGGCGGTGGGGTAACTTTGTGGTTATGACAATTATTTTCAAGAAATTTAATCTAAGGGAGAATTGAAGTACTATCCTCGAATAAAATCTACACAATTAAGAGAATGTGTGAAAACATGGTATCAAAATCAAATTAGCAAAGAATACTTCAACCATACATATGCCAACAGAGAGTGAGAAAATACTAAATGAAGATAAGTTTCCATAATAGTTAATGTTTGCCGAAAAAAAAGGCCTATATTAAAAAATTAAAGGACTCGACCAACGCAATACATATATAACTTGGTGCTCTTAGTCGAACGAGCTCTAAAACATGAAAAAAAAATCCTTCGAAAAAGAGATAATTTCTACTTTGCTAAATACACTTCGCCCTCCATGTTATGAAGAATATTGGGAAATGCCTCAAATAACTTTGAGGATGTTGTATTAATTAGAGGATGAATCAAACAATGAATCAATAGTTGAAGGATTTTTTACCGCCCTTCATAATAAATTTGGTGTCATGCCGACTTCATCAGCTATAGGCAAACCGAATGCAAATTCAATTGTACAACCAAATAGATCAAAATCAACATTGAAAAGTTGATTTCCAACCGAGTTTTACTACAACTTTGTTATATATATTAAGCAATAACCTCTTCTTCGAAGATCTTGTATTGCTTATCTTTCTTCTCTTAATTACTTCTTGGATTTGCCATAAATAGATGACTAAAAGCACTTATTAAGCACGGTTCTGAAATTCCAATGTAATTATGAGTGAATCTTGAACTTGAGGAGCGATTTCTATTTGTAAGAGTTGATTAGGCGTATGCTATGGATTAGCCTTTCTTTATTGTGTACATATCATCAATACTTTTGATTTTCTCTAAAATAAGTTGTTAAGACCACCTTTTCAAGTGGTGATTGCTTTATCTTAGTTCAAAGCTCATTTGAACAAAGATTAAATTCTATTGGGATAAACATTTAGAAGAATTTATTAAATTCTTCTAAATGCACTAGATCGATGTGAAGGGTGAACTATTAAGATCATTTAACAAGATGACTCAAGGATACTCTTACTATTGAACCAAAATAATAATAATATTTTCCATTGACTATTGGTCTCACTAGCAACTTGGACATCAGCTCGATCGAGAGACTAAATACTTTGATGGTAAAGATATCTCGCGAACTAGCTTACATGTCAATTGAGACCAAATATTTCATAAGATGATCTTAAAAGTGCCACTCCATAACTTTTTGGTGCATTAAGAGGAATTTAATTAATTCTCTTCAATATTGGACTCAAGGTTTTGAACCTATGAAATAAAAAAGGAATCAAACCTTCTTAACCACCGGACCAATCTCTTGAGGTTTAAAGATAAAGGTCGCTTCATAAATTAAAGAAAAAACTAAATGATCTCCAAATGAAAAGTTAAAAATACCAATCCTTATCATTTAAGAAAAACTAAATAATTTGTTCGTTTTTTTGTAAATATATAATTAATCGCTAAGTTTCAAAAAAAGCCTTCCTTTATCACTCGTTCCTTATCATTTTCATCAATTTCATATTCTTTTTTAGATTCTTTTTTTTTTTTTCATTCTAAGCAATAGGAAAAGGAAAAAATATAGTGGATAAGATGAAAAAATTGATTGTTATCACCTAATTTTTTATCGTTTTTTTGTTACATATTTTCCTAAAAAATAAAAATATGAAAATTAAATATGGTTTGTTTAATTTGCTTCATAGTGTAATTCTTTTATCATTAGGCTAAAATGTTTTAGGAATAGATTTGGGAGTTTACAAAAAGAAACAAAAAAAAAAAGAAAAAAAGAAAAGAAGATAAAAGAGACAAATGAAAAATTAGGACTTAGGGTCTAATTAAAAATTGCATGGGAAATTAAAGTTAAGAACAACCCACACTATATAAGTTCTCTTTCTTTCTCATATAAAAGGAGGCCAATTCATATATTTTCTCGGAAAAAAATTTAGAGAGAAAACACTCTCTCCACCTATTACCATCAATAACAAAAATCTCTATATTCACTAAAACTCAAGTTCCATAGCCTCCACCTTTCCTCTTCCAAAGCCATCTACCGACCTCTCAATTTCCTCCTCCATTTCAACCTCCACAATAGTAGCCCTTCCCCTTCATTTTTTTTTTGGTCACAATAACAGCCCCATCTCATTCATTTTTTCCAATTAATAGCTCTTCTCCTCTCATTTATTTTTGTCGATCGATGGCTCATTTCTTCACCTCTAACGACACCGGCTTCCAACCCTCAAAATAGTTACCAAAACTTACCATAATAACCTATAAACCCATCAGCTTCCAACTTGAAAATAGCCCCTAAACGTTTCTACAAACGACCACCAAAACCACCACAAACAACCCTTAAAACTCACCACCCAAGCTAGCCACGATCCAACCTTGTAGGCACTAACTTCTAGCCTCCAAAACCTCCTCAAAAAAATCACAAAAAAGCTTTAAAACAACCTTAAGGTGTTGGTCAAACGACCCCAAATTATCCAAAACAAAACTCCTAAATCATCCTTGAAATCATAAGCTTAAATTTCAATTAGAGGATGATGATGAGGAGTACTTTGAGTAATGGTTAGTGTGTTCAAGTCCAAGATATTCTTCAAATTTTAATTAAAAAGGTGGCCTAAATAAGTAAGTAAAAGAGGAAAAGCATAACTTGAAATGCTAACCTTATCTTCTTCTGGTTGACATCATTAATTGTCTCATTAGAGGGTTAAAAAAAGGGATTATTTCTTTTCGATCTAAAATGCATCTTCGATACTCCTAGAGAGGTTCTTCAATCATTTTGACCAACAAGGTAATTTTTTAACATATTTTGTATTGCATTTACATTTAGATCGATATTATAAATGAATCCAATGTCATGATATGTATATGAAATTTAAAATGCAAATAAGATACATTATATCAAACCCAAAAAGATCGGAGACCCTAGGTACTTTTGAGGTGAGTGTTTAATGTTCTATGATGGAACCTGGAAGGGCGAGCATGGGTTTCAATTTTGATTATTTGTTTGAGATGAGTGCCAAGTATGGTGTGTATTTAAGAATGATGCTCGTTATTTTCATGTGATTGATTAAATATAGCATCCATGTCTTTTTTGCTTATAGAGTGTGTATTCTAAAATATAATATGCAATAATGTAACATGTGTATATTGTGAAATAATTAGTGTTGACCCCAAAGGGTGACACCATGCCCCTTTAAAATATGCTATGCATTGATGTGATATGTGTGTGGTGGAATAATCGATGTTGAATCTAAAGGTTGGCGTAGTGTCCGAACTAAATGTGATGTACAAAGTGATATGTGTGTGTAGAAGTGATCGGTGTTTATCTAAAAGTTAAATTTCATATTTTGATATGATCAAGTGTGTTTTGTGTACATATGGTGAATATAATTATGTGATGTGGATCAAAACTATTATCGATATCCTAAATTCATATGGGTTAAAATCGAAGAGTTTTTATTCTTGTATAGGTTAAAGTCATAGGAGACTTCTTAAGCTTATGTGGGTTAAAACCTTGATAGGTTTCTCATTATATAGCTTGAAGTCATGGAAAAAATGAAATAGGGTTTAAAGAAAAAGTAAAGAGATAAGATGAGGAATTGGGGGAAAAAAATATAAGTTACATATAAGTTCTCTTTCTCTTTAACATAATAGGAGACCAATTTGTTTCTTTCCTAAAAAGAAATCTAAAGAGAGAAAACCTTCTCTCTACCAATTACCATCAATAACAAAAACCTCCATAATCATCAAAAATAGAAGCTCTTTAACCTCTACCTCTCTCACTCCAAAGCCATCGACCGACCTCTCTATTTCATCCTCTATTTCCATCCTCTCCATTTCCTCCATTTTAGCTACCACAATAGCAACCCTTCCCCTATAATTTTTTCTACTAAAATAATAACCTCATCTCTCGTTATTTTTACGAGTTGATAGCTCCTCTCCTCTACTCTAGTTATGCTAATTTGCAGCCTTTAAAATATCCATGAAAATTAGCCATAATAGCTCCTAAACCTACTAGCTTTCAACCTAGAAATAGGCTTTAAAACCCACCATAAAAATCCACCAAAACTGCTACAAATGACCATTAAAACCCACTACCCAAGCAACACATTATCTAACTTTATAGCTGCTAACTTCTAGCCTCCAAACCCCCTCATAAAATAGTTATAAGATAGCCCTAAAACAAACTTAAAGTGTTGGCTAAACAACCCCAAATTATCCTAAACTAAACCCCCAAATCATCCTTAAAACACTAAACCTAAATTTTAATTAGAGGATGATGATGAAGACTTTGAGTAAAAGTTAGTGTATTTTGAGTCTAAGATATCCATCAAAATTCAATTAAAGAAGATGGTCTAAATAAGTAAACGAAAGAGGGAAACCATGATTTGAAGTGCTAACCTTTTCTCCTTTTAATTAACAACATTGATTATCTCTATTAGAGGGTTGAAGAAGGGATTGTTTACCTTCGATCTAATAGGTATCTTCGATACTCTTAAAGAGATACTTTAATCACTTTGACTAATAAGATAAATTCTCAACATCTTTTATATCATATTTATATTTAAACTAATATTATGAATGAATACGATGTTATGATATGTATATGAGATTTGAAATATGATAAGATATTGTTGTGTATCAAATCTAAAAAGGTTAGAAACCACTAATAGAAACATTATATCACATCTTTATTCTCTTTATATTTAATTTATTTACTATATTTTATGTCTCATTATAATAATCTATGCTCATATTCATACGGGTGACGAAACTAGGATTTTAGAATAAGCGTGCTTAAAAAGTAGAGAATTCCAGCATGATTAACTTCGACCTTCCGGATTTCTTGTAGGTTTTTTGAAGCCTTAAAGTTGAATGCGAAAGAAGAAGTCTTCAAAGACTTTGTAGAGGACATTTTAAGATTTCCAAAATGATATAGTGGGTCAAAATCTAAGTTTATTTAAGCTTTCAAACGATATTTTATATTTTGGTCTAAAAAGCTAACCCGAATCCTATTCGAGTCCAAATTAGTTATGGAATTTAATCCATATCTAAAGTTTCCAAACATTAATTAATGCAAGGCCAAGCCCATTGAATACTTGAGAGGCATACCTATAATTTTTATGAGGGTTCTAAGTCCAAAATAGGTCAATATCGTGGAGAAATTTAGCTGCAAAATGGAATCCCGAGGTTGGGTAGACGATTGAGTCGGTATCGGTATTTAGCTCATAACCAAACCTGCAAATCTCTAATTGATATAAGACTTAATGGGTTGAAAAGATAAGAAATAGGGATGCAACTTGTATGAAGAAATCAAACTCTAATTTGGCATGTATCAAGTCCATTCAAGCTGATTATAAAAGATCCATAAGCTTAATTAGATAGGACATGGGATAAAGCAATAAAGACACACGAGTAGCGACTAGAGACATGAGATGAAGCAAAAAAATCATATGGATAGTGGTTAGAGACACAAGATAAGGCAACAAAAGACATAAGATGAAGTGCAAATGGTACATAGCCGTGTGTCTAAGTCAAGTAAGCCGTATGCCATCAATTGTTAAAGGCTCCAAATCGAGTAAATCCAAAGAGCAAACTATGTGCCACAACGGAAAAACCATGTGTCTTTATGAGGTGGCTATGTGTGTGTTGTAACCTAACCTTATAACTATAAATATAGAAGTTAAGGTTTTATATTGAATCATTTTTCATCCCAGCGACCACATCACTTTTGTAAGCAAAACCTTACAACTACGAAAAACCATTTCTTAGTTGAAGGAAGATTGAAACTCGTGGTAAAGTTATTGTGAGATCTAAACGGGTTTTATCTCTAATCCTATTCTTTTAAGTATTTTATAATTTTTTATATTATTTGGATATGATTATGTGGTTAATTGATTAGAGTACATGCTATGTAGTTAATCATTATAATCTATTACTAGCTAAGTTTTCAAGTCCGTAATTGTTTATTTAAACTTGCTTATGCTAACAACTAGTGGTTCATAGTTATAAATAGGTTTTCATTTAATCCCTTGAAAAATATAAAACTAGATTAAATTCTTCTAGCATCTAGCTTTTACTGTCTTTCTATTATTTAATGCTATTATTGGATTAAATCTAGATAGCATCTATTAGGTTGTTCAATAATTAGGGATTAATCAAATAGTATCTATTTGATTAACAAATCACAAAGAAAGATTATAGATAACATACATGTTGTTATCTTACGATGAATATTCATAATAAGAATGAATTAATATTTGAATTGATGATCAAAGATGGAACCAAAAAGGGAAACAATGCTCCAACTAAGGCTTTTGTTATTATTGTTTATCTTTTTGCTTAATTTTGATTTTCCTTACTCCTTGCAATAAAAAAACCCCTCTTTTCATTTACTTCACTGTGAAACAATTAGACAATAAAGAGAAAATTGATTGAGCTGATTCTTTATGGGATCAATCCTTACTTGCCCTAGCTACGGACTTATGATTGGGTTCAACAAGGAAAATAAATACAACTAATTTATTAATGGTATGACATGCCATCAAATGTTGGCATCGTTATTAGGGAGTTACATTCAAATTTATTATTTCTTGACATTCTAACCGCTTCAAAGGTGACATCGAGCTAATTATGTTAAACAAATGCATTCATTGAAAGGTAACCCGGTGAATGTATTTTGAACTTTTTTCTTTTTATTGTTTTCGTTTTGTTTTTAGTTTTCTCAAAATTCCTTCTATTCTCAACTTGATCTTAAGAATGTTTGCAGCATAGGTGTTATTTAGTTTTAAAAGAAGAAGAAAGAAGAGAAGCCGCAAGGCGAGTGGCATAAAACACAACTTGTGTATGTTAAAAGCGTTGCCCAAGTGTTTGTATTGTGGCAAAAAAATTATTCAAAACAAGAAGAGAGGAAGCATGGCTAGTAGCATGAGATATAGGTTGACCTTCAAAAAAGACACGTCTATGTGTCTTTTGTCCAAGACTTCAACTTCAAAGAAAACTCAAAGATATAGGTAGTGGAGATTCACAAAGTTTTCAAGAGAAAATCCACATGGCTTGGTAGATTATAAGCGATTACAATCAAGAGAAAGAGGGAAAAGAGGCATGGGTGGTAGCATTATACATGGTTTATGTAGCCTAAGAGTCACAACTTGTGACTTTAGCTACCCTTCCATCCTTCATCTCCAAATCCATTTTAACTACTGCATACCAGATTTGATCTTTTATCCTTTCTCTTTCAATTTTGAATACCTATGTTCCATTTTGTGTTTACATTGGAGACAATGTAAAATTTAAGTGTTAGGTAGAATTTAGGTCCGATTGTATTATTTATTTGTTTGTGATTGTTTATATGTTTTGTGTTTGTTTTTGAATTTTTTTTAGGTTATTTATCTATAAAAAAAGATGATGAAATAAATGCCATGTTTAGTATGTTATCTTTCTTAATTGATGATTGATGAAGAATTTTCATAACATCTTATGAGAAATTTCAAATTGTTTAGAATATTGTGATTATGAAAATACATGCATGCTAGAAAGATTCATTTATCTTTATGATTAAGCATGATTTGGGGAGTGATATTTATTTTATAATTATCCTTTAAAACTATGCCTAAGCATGGATTATGTAAATAAGATTTTCTAGCTAATACGAGAATTTAAAAAAAAATTAAGAAAAAAAGCATTCCAAATGGAAAATCAGCTTTATAGATTATAAATCTACTCTAATATTTTGAGTTACTAAGTAACTAAGAGTACTCATCATAAATGTTTACTTTTATGTCAAATGATGACTTGCATTATGAGTATGCAACATTCTAAGTATATGACTTACTAAGTAACCAGTTGCTTTCTTCATAAATGTTAGCAATTGTGTAAAAAAAACAAGTGATCGCTTAGAGAAGAATTGCTAAAGGCTTTTAAAAAAGAATGAAATGCTAAAATAAGAAGAATTTTTAAGAAAAAAGAAATCTTAATTTACTATTTTTGCTTGTAGTAGTGCAAAGGAGTAAGGGTAAAATGGATATTCCATGCTCAAATCATGACTAGTTATAAAGAAACTTAAACAATTTAGAGACATGGATGAACATAAGCACAATATCATTAAACATGATTGATTTGATTGTTTCATTTTATTGAATTTTAAATCAAGAATCAATGTTTGAAGGATAAGCATATTGGCTAGCATTCATTTAAGATTTTATGGGTATATCTTCTAAAAACCTTCACGAGACATAACTTATCCATTAGGGATAACCTAGAGGTTTAAAGGCTTATTGCATACACTAAATTCAATCATAATTCCTATGAAAGTGAGTTAGGTTTTTGTTTTGTTTTGTTTTGTTTTGTTTTGTTTTTTTGCTCGAGGAGCAATAAAAGTTAAGTGTGGGGGAGTTTGATAGAAACATTATATCACATCTTTATTTTCTCTATATGTAGTTTATTTTCTATGTTTTATATTTTATTATGATAATCTATGCTCATATTCATGTGAAAGTCATAAACTAGGATTTTAGAATAATTTCGCTTTAAAGTTAGAGAATTTCGACTTCATTAACTTCGACCTTTTTGATATCTTGTAGGTTTTTCAAAGCCTTAAAAATTGAATTTGGAAAAAGTTATTTTCAAAGACTTTATAGAGAACATCTCAAACTTTTCAAAATGATGTAGTGGGTCAAAATATAAGTTTGTTTAGGCCTTCAAATGATATTTCATATTCTAGTCTAGAAAGTCGACTCGAATCCTATTCGAAATCTAGATCGGCTATGGAATTTAATTCATATCCGAAGTTGAAAAACTCTAATTAATGCAAGACCAAGCCTATGGAATACTTGAGAGGCATACTA